ATTCCTGCAGTCACCGGCTAATGAAACGTGCCACAGATATTTATAGAACTGCCATTGTAAATAGAATTTGCATTTGGTGCCTTTGAGTTATTTAATGTGACAGCACATTCACCAGGAGGGTTTTTTCGCTTCGAAAGGGAAAGGTTCCCTTTGGAGCCGTTTCCTCCCGTCGCCTTTGCTGTTTGTGTTGGGTGGAGCAGTTCTGTGGACAGTTGTGATAATTTAGTGACGAAGTGATGGGCACGCGGGGATTAGCTGAGCATGGTGAAGGTTTTTGGGCCATGTCACAGACAGTTTATACGATTCTCTGAGACAATGTTTGAGTTACAGTGAAGATGAATAGAGAGGAGACCAGTCGCCAGAGAAGTTCATGGCACAAAGCAAAACAGCCGCCAGCCTGCCTTCCCTAGGAAACCCGTTGTGTAAATATTTGGGTAGGAGCCTCCAAAGGAGATTTAAAGTCTTGCGATAAAGGTAACTAAAACGTCCTTTCCTTGAGAAAAACAACTATGATTCAAAAGATCCCATGAGTAACCACAAGGCAGATTTCCTTTCTGTAGCATCTCTACACTCTAGTGAACAAACATGTATGTCAGGACTTGTTGTCACTGATGGATCTTAAAATGTTTTGCAAAGGTCAGGATCAGTTTTCCCATCCTCAAGGTGTCAAAGCCAAGGAGCAGAGAAAGAACGCATGCCCTGTGTATGATCAGCCCTCCTGCACAAAAATCCAGCACCTCAGCTGCACCAACACGTTGCTTCAGATTTTCACATGCCTTACAAGCAGTATTTGTGTTTGGGTATTGAAGATATATTATCTGTAGTCTTTACACATTCATGTATAGAAATGACAGAGCTTTTTAAAAGTACTTGTGCTCAGTTCTTCAAGCACTCTGGGGTCATGCTGCATGTGCAAGCACTAAAAGAAGTGGCAGATTTTCAGAAAAAAAATGTGACTTACTAGGCTGTTTTAGAAAAAAAAATGTGTTCTGTATTTTGGTGCATAATTTCCATCTGAGTTTGTGTTAAGTCTGGCCCATGAGATGCATGTGGCCCATATTCACACCCAACGTGTGGAGCTCCCTGCCATATGGATGAACTGTTATCACACAGGAGTGTGTAACACACTCCCACCTCTTCAAATGTCTTGGGAAGCATTGGAAATCTGAGGGATTGATGTGGATACAGCATCGTGGCAGAGCTGTAGCCGAGTACGCAGCAGGTATAACCATGGAGCTCACCTAAGAATTGTGTCACCTCACTTGAAATGTCTGAAGGTTCTCTGTACTTAGAGCATCAAGAACATATTGACTGTTAGGTTGAACTAGACATTTGCATAATTTCTTTCTGGAGTTAGGAAGGGGGGCTCTTGCCCCCCAGAAGGAAAGTGGAGGACTGTATTGGTACAGGAAATCTCACTCATCAAACTCACAGTGAAACCCAGGACTTGATCAGGAATGAACTTCCCTGCTTCCCTGCCACATCAAGTATCCATCTCTTCCGTCAACAACTCTGCTCAACCATTGCTTCTTGTCCCTTTGCTGGGAGTTTGCTTTTCCAAGGTGAAGGGAAAGCCATGCCTCTGTGCCTCATGTCTCTCAGTTCTCCCCTTCCTTCTCTGGGTAAGAGTCATGGAAAAGAACTTCAATTCACTCCTGTAGTCTTCCCACATCCAGACTCTGGTGCTGCTCAGCTCATCTTGGTGACCTCCTACTCCCATCTAGAGGGCTTTGGTGTTGATTTTCCTTCTCTAATTGCACAGAGAAGCAGAAGGGTTTCCCTGAGTTGTTGCTCAAGAGCTGGCCACAGCCTCGTCCATGGCAGTGCAGCAAATAGCACAGAGCAGCCAATTTGCACAGCGTCAGAAGCAGCATCTTTCACCCAGACAGACTGTGCTAAATCAGTTCCTCCTCACTGTGCTTTGAAATGTTCCTGTTTTTTGCTCTGACAAACTAGCAGAGTTTGTATTGATCTGGCGATGCAAAAAAGCACATGATGTGGGCTTCAGACACCTGGTGGCATAATAAAGCAGAAAGGAGGGAGAGCAGGACCATCATATTTTAGCTTATATTAAATAGGAAGCCTGTCTCTGCCTTCTTTTCTTTCCTCTTGGAAAGCACCATTTGTTTCCAAGGGAAATGAAAAGCCCCATGGCTGAGCATCCTGTCTGCAGAAGGAAATGCTGCAGCAGATCTCCGGCCTGTGGTACTGCTGAGCTTCAAGGGATGTTCATGAAATGCCATGCAATTAGTGAACCATCATATGCTGCATTTCAGAGCTTTGCTTTATTCAGGTATTTATTCATGTTACCAGCTGTTTGCATTTGAGATTTCTTTAAGCAGTGAAAGCACTAAGGGGTTATGAAACTCTGGGTTGGAAAAGTGTGGAGAGCTAAAGAAGCTTCACACAGAAAGCAAGTGCTTTGCTGAAATGCTAAAGCACAAAGTCATACATCTCAGAAAATTTTCCCTCTTTCACCTTCTTTTATTCGTATTTTGACTTTGTTATAACTGATGGAGCGTAACACACGAAAGCTGGGACTGTGTTCCCATCCCTGCCATTGCCACGATAAACTCACTGCTCTATCTCTTGCCTTGAGTAAACTCATATTAAAACTGGAATATCAATGCATAATCCCCATCTTGAGGATGCAGTGGATATGTGACAGTAAAAGGACGAGGAAGATGCCAAAGCAGAGTTCAGGCACTCAGTTTTATCTGCTGGGGAAGCCCAGCAAAGGAAGCTTGCAGTTCTCTGCACCCAAGTGAACATGACCCGCACAACTCTTGTTCCAAGCAGGAGAAACCATTGCAAAGCCCTTCTGTGAGCCTCTGGCATAGCTTCACAACTGAGCTGAAAGCTGTTTAATAGCAAAAAAACTCACTCACCAAGAAGTACACCTTAGGAGAAGCCATATTTTCCATAACATTGCTTACTAGAGGAAACTCTCCTAAGACAATTTACTGCCACGGCGGTAACTGGCTGACATTTATGAGAAGTCTTGTTTTACAAGGCTTTCGTTTGGCTGCAGTGCCAGGGCTCCAGTTATGCTGATGGAAAAAAGAGAAGGAAAGCAATGGTTTTTAGCGGTGCAGGATATTGAGAGGTGTGCTGATGTGAATAACAAAAGGGGGAAAAAAGGGCATGCATTGCATGGGATTGTGCATTCCAGGATTGTAAATTTGGGGTGAGTTGAAGGGAAAAGCTCATTTTGACTGGTTTTCTCATAATAAACTCTGTATCTTGCATGGTCCACTTGAGGTTTAATAGAGTTGTAGGAACACTTGAATTTCTGCTTTGTGGAAGAGGCTGGGGCCAGGGTAAGACTCGCTCCGGTCTGGTCCCAGGAAAGTGGGAGGTGGACATGAGACAGACCTAGCAAGAGGGAGGACAGGAGCACACAGAAGAGCCTCATGGGCTCCTATACCGAGCAGGGTGAGGGTGATGCTGCTGGAAATGGCCAAGGCTGCAGATCCCATGGCAATGGCCATGCACTGCCCGGGCTCTTGAACAGGCAAAGTCGATGGTGGAGCATCCACCACTGCCTCTTGGACACCAGCACATCCAGCCCCATCAAGCCACAGGAGCGGGTGATTTTTAACCTGCAGAGCTGAAGCAGAAAGCTGAGCTGTCCTCAGTTAACCCCACAAACCCACGTCTCCCTGCTCTCTGGAAGGTGGCTTTGCATCAGGCTCAGCTCAGCTGGCACTGGTGGGAAGAGATGATGGATCAAGGCAGGAATGCCCAGGACACTGGGGCACTCGTGACCCCAGCAGCCTGCAGGCCCCCAGCCAGGCTCCCGTGGACCCTCCACTCCCTTCTGGTGATGCTTTCAGACTCTTTGTAGCAAGTAATATCATTAAACTGATCTGAGGATCCATGCAAAGCACAGGAAGGTGCCTTGGCTGGAGGGTGGTGGGTCCCTGGGGGACTCAACTGAGCTGTGGGGCTGCGCTGGGGCTGTGCTGCTGTGGGTCCAGGTGTGTGTGAGTGTCGTGGGGTGAGCCCACACCGAGGGGGGCTACCTGTGCTGCCTAAGTCATGCTGAGGAAGGGATTTACAATAGCCAAAGAGGCTTAAAGCAGTCCATATCCCATTAACAGATAGTGGGATTGTGCTTGTTCCTGTGCCTGAGGGGCTTTGTTGAACTAAGCCAGGTTCCATAACTCTGCAAAGCAAAGTTGCTCCCTGCTTACAGTGCTCTGTGCAAGAGGAGAGCTGGGAAAGGGCTTGGTGCACTGCAGAGGAGTTCCCTCAGATCACAGCTCATGTATTTCTTAGGACTCCAATCACTGGATCTCAGAAATTTCATATAAGTCTTGTATAAATAACAGTTTTATTGATATTATTTTGTTGACAGTGGTAATAAACTTTTCTGGTATGGAAGCACCTTTGGACCAGTACGATGATATCACAAGTGGCTCCTGTGGTACATCTTAAATAGGACACCCCAAGTAGGACAAGCCCACTCTGGGATTCAGGACCAAAAACGCAGCTGGTGCCATTCCAGGAAGCACCATCAGCACTTCCTAGGGAGGACCTTGCTTGTTCCACACTACCTGTGGCATGGCTGGATCACTGCTGTTGAGGAGTTTGGGGAAACTTGTCTGGGTGTCTCCTCCACCAGCCAAGCCATCTGCAGAGCTGGAGGCTGCAGGATGAAATGCCGGGCCCCCTGCAAACCGTCCCCTGGCCCCACTGTACACATTGGAACAACCTCCTCCCGGCAGCTGCATCCGGGCAGGCGCCAGACGCTGCTCCATGACAGCTACCAGGGTGGCTTTTCTTCTTCTCCTTCCAGCCTTTTCTTTCCCCTGGTGCCAAAAGAAGGGAGATTAATTAAAAAAATAAAAAATAAAAGGACAAAAGAAACCCCAACGAACAACAACAAACCAAAAGCACTGCAGCGAGTGAAAGCCCCCAGCTTGTGCCGGGGAAGCAGCCGAGTGCCAAGCTGGAATGCCGAGTGCCCTGACACACGTGCCTCTTCTCTCTTGCAGATGACGGAGGGTCGCAGATGCCAAGTGCACCTCCTTGACGACAGGAAGCTGGAGCTCCTCGTTCAGGTAGTAACTGCACGTTTCGCCATGTGATAGTTTGCTACAGCTGCGGGTTTTCGCCAGGGTGGGGAGAGAAAAGGGTTTTCGGCTGGTTTTCTCAGCAGCTTCACACTGTGATTGCCTGCAGAGCTCAGGGAAGCTCCATTAGTGCTGTCTGGGAAGGACCTGCAGAGGCATATCTGTGGGAAGGACTAATTCAGGACGTTTTGCTTTATTCTGTGCCAAAACTGTCCCAGTCCCTGCCAGTGAGACAGAAAAGCAGCTCTGGTCATTTTTTACACTGTTACTATATCACTTTGCAATTTTTTTGAGGCATTGCTTAGCTTTGAGAAGTTTATTGCATCGGGCAGGCATTGCTTGTGGGGTGTAAATCATATGTCAAACACAAATATGCATTAAAAGAAGTCGGTGCTCCATTTGCCTTATCTTTTAGTTTTGAAAAAAAAAAAGGAAAATCAGAAACAATGAGAGTCTAGTGGTCATGGGTATGTAAGGATGGGCTGATGGAAGCTGTAGCATCCTGTACTTTCCTGACAACTTTAACTCCTGTCTCAGAGATCCGCAATGGGTTAATAACAAGAATTAGAAGAATGTCTTTCCTTTTACAAAGGCTTCGGGCCAGCCACAGGCAGCCCAAGCAGCAGGAAATGAAACTTCCCACAGCACCCAAATACCCCAGCTGCAGTTGATAAGCTGGAAGGGGGGGCAGGATCCTACCCAGCCCTGGCAAATCTGAATGAGGATGGCTGATGGTGACTTGAATAGACGGAAGCACATTCAGCCTCGCTTTCTGGAAAGTTGCTTAAAAATACCATTGCAAAAATGCTAATGGGTAATGGTTTTTAAGTACATAGTCATCAAGGAGGTGAAATCCCTCAGCTCCCTGTGACATTCAGTGTTTTCAGAGAGTGTCTGGATAACCATGAGCCAGGCCAGACCTGGAATAAGAGCAGCTAAATCAGGATGACTAATTAAAACAAAACGCTATGCCAATAATCTCTGCAAAGTGAGCACCCCTGCACTGGGCTGCACCGGGCTTGCTGAAGCTTTGCAGCTGGCTGGGGGGAAGTTCAGTCACCTTCATCACCAGGACACAGCACTTGGCTTCCCATTTCATTTAAATGCCTTTTCTAATTTTTCTTAGTTCAATTAAAAATGAATGGGCTATTGGAGAGTAGCTCTGCTAAAGCACTGCTCACTGTATTAATAATCACAGCTCAAGAGAGACTGCAGGAAATCTATGTGAGCTGCCCTGGCCAACCTGATTGTCTGGGGTTTTATCAAGGACACTAAGAAACCACAGGAAAATGACTTCCAAGGGGGCTGGTTTGGGAAGCTCTGTGTCCTCTTCCGAGTGAGCAGAAGTGATATCACATGATATGATGTTTTTTCGAGTGTTTGATCACACCTTCAATGGGAATTCCTTGTAATCAATACAGGAAGTGAATTGCTCTGTAAATCACACTAACTAGTTTGCAAGTGACCCATGGTTGAATTTTATTCGTACAACAAATCATTTTGCTGTTTTTAAGTAATATATAAATGGGGAAATCCAAGGAGGGGTGATGATGAAAAATTCATGCCCAGAAAAAGCAGTAACCTCTGTTGCATGCAGGTTGACCCAGATCTCTAAGTAGCACCATGCCCCCATATGTACAGGATTGTCCACTGAGGTATCTCAGATGCTTTTTTGGCTTAATGAGGGTTTTCAATGCTCCTAGGTAGCTTTTACTCAGGGCAAAATCACTTTTAGGTGGAGCAGATGAAGAGAAAGTGGGTGTTTGGACTCAAGTGTGTCTCTAGTATCAATACTCTTGGCAGACGTGGGCACGCTGCTTTGGTTTGCCTGCCTTAAAAGGTAAAGCCATCAGCATTGGGATGGTCCCAGTGCTGGTCCACTGGGGTAGGAACAGGCTGATGTCAACCAGATGAGCTGCTCTTTGCCCCAGGGGATCCTCAATCGACTGGGCTCCCTCCAGGAGCAACATGCACTTTGCTAGGGGAAATCTCACCAGCTAACCTGGATTGTTTGTAAGTCATCATGAGATTTCAGATAAAAGTTGCTTTGTGATTTCTGAGCATCATATTTTTATTGCTATTACTTTATCTTGTAGCTGAACTGAACAAGAAGCTGTAACTAAAACGTTCATCCAAGCCTGAGCTTCTGGCTGTCACTTCAAAGCTGTATTTTTCTGTGGATGTCTTGCCATGGGATGGTTTGCTGTTTTTTTGCCATGAAAGAGGTTCCTCCATAGCTTTGTTGGGTCTTAACATCTAGACGTGCACTGGCTTGAATTGCTCAGGAGTCAAGCTCTTAAATTCTTGTGTGACATTTCCTCCTTCCCACCACCTCAGCCTTTCTCAGAAGCTTTTCCATAGCTAATTTCACACTCCTATGGCAAGTTTAGGGGAGACCACTGGGAATCGGTAGAACTGATTTCTTTGCCACGGGTGAGATCTAAATAGCAGACTCACCTGGGCCTGGCTTTACACAGCCTTGCAGTGCTTATGTGTGTGCTCTGCTTAGAGAAGTGTTCAGGGATTCTGTTCCTGTGTTTTCATAGAATGGTTTGGGTTGGGAGGGATCTTAAAAACCATCTAGTTCCAACCCCACTGCCATGGGCAGGGACACCTTCCACTAGAATTGATTGTTCAGAGCTCCATCCAACCTGGCCTTGAATATGGGGCATCCACAACTTCTCCTGCCAACCTGTTCCCGTGCCTCACTACCCTCTGAATAAAGAACTTATTCCTAACATATAATCTCAATCTTTCCTTTTTTAGTTTAAAACCATTGTCCCATCGCTGTCTGCCCATGTAAAAAGTCATTCTCTTATTAAAAAGACCTCTTTAAGTACTGGAAGGCTGCAATGGGGTCTTCCCTGGAGCCTTCTCTTCTCCAGGCTGAACAACCTCAGCTCTCTCCACCTGTCTTTGTAGGAGAGATGCTCCAGCTCTCTGATCATCTTTGTGGTCCTTCCTTTTGATGTTGAAAAACCAGCAGAAGAACCTGGGTCTGATCGAAGGAGAGACCTGGGTACAGCTCCCTCGAACGGATGCAGGAGGGCTCCTGGAGCATCTTGAAACAGCTTCGGCCAGTGACTCTGGGGAGCTGAAATTTTTTCCTCTCCTGCCTCAAGTGCTGCTAGGCAAAACCAAATGCATCTGGGAACGATCAGGGTGTTTGCAAAAAGCAGTGTATTAAGCAAATGTCCTCCCTTTTTGTCTGTGAATTAGCCGTGATCAGACTCGGGGGGGTTATGAATATGTTGTCTGAAACGTATCAATTGGCGGGTAACGAGGACCATACCTCAGGCTGCAGGAGGGTGGAGACTGGTAATGGTGCTCCTGCAGCTGCTCACAGGACTCAGCAGTGGCTCAGTGAGACAGCTCTGCCAGGCCAGATTGAAACATTTTGACACCACAAATTCTCTCCCAAAAGTACAAAAACCCCTCTGAAAGGCCACACAGCAATTGCTAGTGGGACCCCACCCTGCTGGCATATATGTCTTATTTGCATTACTACACCTCAAAAGTGAGATTTTGGCTCTTAAGCAGTATTTATAACCCCTTCTGTGAATGCTGGCTTGCTTCAGTGTTGGCACATAACACAAGGGCTTGGTGTTACCACCATCAGGAAAGCAATTCTGGGTTTAGTCGATCAAAGGGTCTTGACTACAGTCTTTTCCTCCCAAGTTGAGCGGCTGCAGAGTGGTGCAGCAGCAGCAGCTAAGGAAAAGCAGAAACAGAGGCTTTGAGGATAAAAGAAAACCCTCCCCAATGTGTTTTGTCAGATAAATGCTGAAATTTAGAAGGGCTAATCATAAACGGAGACGGAGGAGGATCATATGGAAATCTCTTCCTGAGGGTCTGAAACTCAAAGTCTGTTTGACTTGGGATTAGGCAGAAGAGTTGCATTTGGTGTGTGTTTCATTTGATAAATGCCTGTTGATGATCTGGGTTTTGTGGCAAGTTTACACAGCTTTTTTTTTTGACAGTTTTTTCTTTCTGTGCAGGAGCAGAGTGTGGCTCCTTGGATCTTACAATCTGGGGTTTTTTTCCTCTTTCTGTTTGATGCATGTTTAGTTTCTAACACAGTTTTTTTTAAAAAAGTGTTTGGCTTTATCCAGCTAATCCTTTTCAGCGAGCGAGTCCCTTTTCTTCCTTCTGGAAAATGGATTTCCTCCATTCTGGACTCACAGCCTCCCTATCTGTTATATTATTTCCCAGAGATCGTATATCATTTGTCTGTTGCACATGAAAGGTTTGTGTTGCTTTATTTAAAGACTTTTGCGTAATTGGCAATTCGTTCCTTTTCATGTGGGTTTTATAAACATGGCTTTTTTTTCTGGGATGGCTGAATCAGGCAGCCTGCCTTGATCCCAGCTCCTGTGCCGGCTGCCGGTGCCTGTTATCTGACAGCAGCCCCAGCAACTGTCATCCAAAAGTGCTAAGCCTCCTAATTCTTTCTCTCTGGAGGAGTTATTGCAGAAATGGAGCTCATTCGAGTCTCGTAGCAGAGCCATCTGTGGGGTCTGAAGGCTCTGAAATTTGATGGTAGGAAATAACTGGGCAATTTGTTTCTAACCTCCTCCCCAAGAAGCACTGAGCCCAATTTGAAAGAGCCAGGGAGAGACGAGGAGGTCAGCACAACCCATAGGTATTTTGGTCATTAACTCACTATATGTCCATGTTGACAGTTCTTGAGTAACTCTTCTTGCAGCGTTTCTATCTCCCAGCTGTGATGCAAGTGCATCCAGAGACATGTTAACAGTGATACATGTAGACCCACAGCCAAAATTAACAGGATGCACAGAACATCCCTTTCTGACCTTTTTGCCTTTTGCAAAACCAACTGCTTTGAGAGGGTCAGGAGTCTTTCAGGAGCCCACGATTTGCTTCCAGTGTCCCTGCCGTGCTTCAGTATCTCATCCCCAGGAGCCGCCTCCAAGCCAGACTGGGAGACACTGGAGCTGTGAGCCAGCACTGGACTGGCGAAATGCCTC